GTCTTCTCAGAGAACGCCACCCGCGAATGCCGATTCGAGCTTTTTGCGGAGAACTTTTCGATACATCGATGAAGTATTGAGGATGAATATGACTGATCGAGCCTCGTCGATTCCCCGGAGCTGTTAAGGGAGACTAATCCGTTCGAGCGCCCATCACCGCCAGAATTCGCCGTGTAGCTCGTCCGAGCCAAGGATCTCGCCTTCCTCGACGGGAACCCGGGAGAAATGAGGGGCCGGGAGGGGATATCTGATTCTCTGAGAAGGGAATCGGCTCACTTGTACGCACAATCCTGTTCTGTGCGTTCCTTTATTGTACTCGCCTAGACAGGGCGATACTTCCGAAATAGTTGGAGATTCCGTAAAAACGCGCGAGCCGATATCAAACGAGGGCTTAACTTGCGCGTAATCGAAATCAGCGCACAGAGAGTCTCGAGGGATCGGAAGGAACTTCAGGGTACGAGCTCCTGGAAAATTGCCAATTCCATTCGCCCGGGATCTACCCCGGAGATTCAAACCTTATACCCTTGGGGGCGCCGCGTCGCAGCGGATCACGGACGTGGATCCACCTCTTCCATGTACGACGACGCCCTCATTGCTCCGAGTTTTCGTCAACGCAGGGTTGACCATCGTTACCGAGGATGAGTTTCCATGGCGTTGCTATCTCTCACGCCAGTCTGATTCCGAGCGACGAGGATTTAGAGCAAACAGAACAAATAGCGAGTTATGGCGCGTCTAGGTGCAAGGAAATCCCGGAGCTGGCGTCGATATCGGGGTCAAAACACTAGGCATTCGCTAACCCTACTGAGTCTCTCTCTCATTTCGTCTCTGCCCGAAACCGTCCGACAATGAGAACTCCTATTTCCTCAATGCCCATACTCAACTCCGCGAATTTGAGCCGTCGCTGGCCTGCGGGGAACCAGGCCAGTTTGTTTGAGTATATCGTCCGCAATCCCAAGATTACGGGGACAGTTTACTATTTCTGCGAGGCGTCGGCGAGCATGGATATCTCTAAAATCCCTATAATCTATCCGTCCGGATTCCAGATCTCTCAAGAATCTTCGATAATATTCGCGTTTCCACGCATGGGAAGACGCAGACTGTCGGAAGGCTTCGCGCTTTTGTCGTGATCCTTGGAAGGCCACAGTCATGCCAAGAGTTCTAGATCGGGTTGAGACTACGATGAACAAGTCGCATACCATAATCCGTGGGGCAATGCGCCTTGAGGAATGACACCGGAGTCGAGCAAAAACATCCACCTTGAAGCCGTCTCCTCGTTCCCTCGTGTCCATCGCTCGGTCGATCAAAGCATCGATCGAGTTACCTTGATGGAGGACGAATATCGAATTTCGGATCGCCCGTGTACTCCCAATGGCTGAGTCGTTGACCGCTTTCTCGAGGAGGCGCACCTCAAGCTGGACTTCAAAGTTTTCTCATTGAGACTCGGCATAGCGATCGGTCCAGGGTGGAACATTCGGTTAACAAGGTTTGGATCCGACCCTTGATAGTGCCGATTTTTCGGGTTGACGCTCGCTTCGATATACAGTTGAAGGAGGAACAACCAGGTTCCAGGCTATTGCCAGTCGATCTCGATTCTGGAGCGTCGAGGACGACGCAGGTATCCTTGCTCAGGCACAACGAGTCCTAATGTCGATGCATAAAGTCTTTCGCCGGACCGGTCGCGACGAACTTCCGCAACACGAGACCATCGCTCCTGATATTTTGAATCAGACACCGGAACCCGTCGCCGGCGGTCGCTGGGACCCAAGACACCGGCGACTGAAAACGTCTTCAGTGTGCTCCGCTCGGGAATCCGCGAGAGTCGATGAGCTTGGAGCGCGCACTCCGCGGTGTCCAACTTCAAAATGAGGAGTATGATAAGGTCCGAACGCCCGGTTTCTCGTCTCGGACTCCTTTCGGAAAGGGGAAGATTCTGGCGTGGAAAAGCGGCGAATATGTGCGGCCCATGAAAAGAACTCTTTCCTTCATCCGAGACATGACTTGGAAGATGAGCTCGGTGCCAAATCAGCTGACTGAGCGAAGAGACTGGTGGACTAGCATAGGGTAGGGACAACCAAAGGCGGGGAAGCTCCACAATTAGCTACAGGGAAGAACAAAAGCCTGCCTAATTGGTGTTCTTCTCCTTCGTCTCACATGGTCATTCCCTACCATCATCAATATTCCTTGCCGTTGGGGATCTTCCCGTGCTAGGGAGGAGATCGACTCTTGGGTTCGGCGTTGTTAACGCCGGACGATGCTCGGGAAGACTGGGGCGACCTTGGTGTTCCGCTGTCTCGTCGGCGATGTCGAGGCGGAACTCTCGCTGGAAATGCTAATTCGTCGGTGACAAGCATCAGAAACCGAATCCCAAATGACAATGACGTCTAAGATGAGCCGAGCGTCGGGCTCCCACCGAAGAGGATAAGAGACAGTGGGATAAACTCCGGAGTTACTCAATCTCTAAACGGATGTCGGCGGCTCGAGCGATAAGCTATGGAAGTAACGCAGGAGGACCCAAGCGGACAGAAACCAACGTCAGGGGAGAACCTTCGATGGGAGTCGCCAGGGGAAAAACTGGGAGACAGCTGAGGATGAAGGATATTCCTTACTTCGGCGACGCTCACCGTCGCTCCAGGGAAGGGCTCCCTAGTGAGGGAGAACGAGATGAATAATAGCATAGGAGTCAGCGATTCGAGTCGGAGGGAATACCGTAAATGAAGAGAATGACATCTGGAAATTCGAAGCGCTAACTCGCACGATTCAGCAAACTAAATGTTGTGTGAGCGCCAGGCGAGCAGACGACCGAATGAGCGAAAGGAAACGAGGAGTGGTAAGGGGGGAAGGCACTGAATTATTTACATATTCACGATTTGCAAGCAAGTGATGCGGAAGAAGCGAGCGCGCAAGCAAACCCTAAGAGTTGCTGGACGGCAAAGCTTCCCTCCGTGCTCGCAGCGAAGTCTCTCCCTCTGCATTTCTACGTTTCTTCTACTTTCTTTTGTTCTCGGAACTCGGTGTTGGTTGGAGAATGCCGTTTTTCTTCTAGAGGATATCTCGATTCGGTACATCTGCCACCGATCCTGATTTCGTCCTCCTTATTTTTCTCGTCATAAGCAAGCGACTAGGCAATCGTCTCGATAGATAGAAAGATATCTCTCCGACCTAGCTGATGCTCAGACTTCGAATGCCAGGCGTCGAGGACTCTTGTGGGATGGTCCGAGCCATCTGAAATTCACTTGAAGCTGAATAGGATCGACCCGGAATCACCCTGAAAATCATCCGCAATCGATCCAGAAGCAAGCATACATGCTGAGCTGAGATCGGCATCATACGAGAGAGCGGGAGCTGCGTCAACGTTACATTGTGTCGCGACGAGCGGCACCATCGCATCGGTCGCAGCTATTGTTGCGATTCAATCAGGATTAATATCCTCACGTGAGCTCCTCCTGGAACCGAGAAACCTCGCCCAAGAAGCATCGCATAAAGTACCCGCAATTATCCTGATTTCGAAATATCCCGATCTGATCCGGAGTCGAACCCCGCAGCCAATGCAGGGAGAAAGAGATTCCCTCGCAAGAAAAATAAAATCCTCCGATGGGAAAGAGCGGTCAAGAGGAACAATTGCTTTTTTCCAGAGTGAACCTTAGTTCAATTTTCCGGACGAGCAGAAACTGGAGAAGAATACCCCGGAGATTGAAATTCACCGCGATATAGTTCTCCTCCAGCCGACGAGTCGAGAGTCAAGGATATGGAACGCTGGGATTTGCAGGAGCCGCGTCTCCTGAGAAACCGGCTGGAAACGGCTGATGCTCCGCTACCCGAGGAGCGCATTACTTTTCCCGATCGGCAAAGGATTACAAAGCTCCGAAGGCCGCCGGGCCAATTTCTTCGATTGTGCTCTTATATACCATTCTCTTCTACTTCAGCGATTTGAAGTTACCTCGGTATCTGGCAAACACCAGACAACATACTCCTGATCTTTTCCATGAACGATGTAGGAGCATCTCCGCATGCCGGTCAGATTCCAATCCTTTCGACTCAGATTTCTCGGGGAATTTCAGATATACGTATCGATGTTGAGCGTCTTCAGAAGCACGGCTGCGAACGTGGTGGTTCAGCTCCGCAACAATCTCGAAGGGCTCCCATGACATTGTTTCAGAGGAGTTCTGTTGAGAGTGTGTATAAGCAGAAGACTCCTTTGGTCTGAGCGCTCGTGAGGCGCAGTCTACCGGAGCGCCTTGTCTTCCCGCTCATACCTTGCTGGATGTTCAAGAGTTTTCTCGAATTAAGTTTTCCGCTCCGAAAACTAGAGCGACGTCGGGGTTGCGGAGAGAGAAGGAAAACTTCTCCGGGCTACCTCTCGGGGAATCTGAACCCCACTCGAATGAGGAGCTCGTGGTTTTTTCTCGTTCCAGTGGATCGCAGTCATGAAATCCGAGCCAGTTCAATGTCTCGTAGGAAGGAACTTACCTTGAAACGATTCTGCGCGATGTGAGCGGCTGAGCATCCAGAGAGACATCGATTCCTGACTTTCTCCACCAGAGGCCGTAGCCCCCGAAGACCTTTGTCCCCCTATATCTGAGTTCATCTGGGAACGCGACGCCCGCACGGAGCCGCTTCGCCCGACAGCGGAAGGTCATTCCTACTTAGAGGCGCGCATGGGGGGAAGGCGAAAATTTTCGGCCCTAATGCATAAGTATGGACCCCAAGGAAGCGCGCCATCGTTCAGGTTATCTGGCCTCCGAAATGCGGATCCCCCCCCCCCGTCCCGAGGAAGAAGCCTGTGCACGCCCCTGTTCCTCCTCCTGTCACGCATACTCACATACGTACACATTGAGCATACGTCGTTGCCGCGAGCCGCGAGCTGTCAACGCCTGCGGAATCTGCGCCCGCGCTGTGTCGGTCGCTCTCGAATCACGACTCACGACCTTCCCCGAACGGAAATATAATATTCTCACGGAAATGCTTTTCCAGGTGTCACGGAGCGCGGCGAGCTAGGAAACATGGTCCCAGGAATGGGAGCTCGTGGAAGACACCCCCAGAGCGAATGGCAGCGTCTAGCAAAGCTGGTATCTACGCCGGCCAGCGGGAGATTGTCTCGCAAACAATCAACACGCAATAGGCACGCTGCGCAAAACGTCGTCGTTTGGTTTCACAGCATGGATAAAAGGTACGCAGCCATGTCTGATCCTACCTGCATCCTAGCCCAGGCCCAGGTTAAACCCGGAGTACATACTCTGCGACGGGGTTCCCCCTCGGCCAACCGTTCGAATTCCTCTCCACGGCACCGGAGGAAATGGGAATACCCCCCCCGACGGTGTACAGTGATGCGAGTATTTTGAAGAGAACCATCAAAAAGCACAGGCCTCAGGCCCTGAGCTCGCGACGCAATATGAACAGAGTTTCTCGTGTAGCCGGGTGAAGCGCGGAAATTTTGAATTGCTCACCGTCGAAAGGTGCTGAGTTCCGGGCCGGAACTCCACCTCATAATTGTAGCTTAGAATTGCAAACTAGGAATTTGCAGCCGCTCGGCTGCCCGAGCCTGCGAATATTTGATTTGGGAATTTTGAAGAATATTCTTTTATCACCTCATAGACCTCGAACGCCACCGGAAGGGTGGAAAATTTCCCGATGCCGATGGATTGTTCGAAGCGCCCGATGTACTGAAGGGATTGAGGATGGAGAAGGAAATCTGCTGGATGTATCCCATTCTGTTGAGCGAAATCGAATCTCTAAAACATGATATCAGTCCTATATCTGGACTCACTAGCGACGTCATCCGGGATTGTATACATTTTTTTGATCCGGCCACGCAGAGGAAGATGACCTTATCCGAGGATACGACAAGCTTGTACCTAGGGCTCTGAGAAACATGGATATTATGAGACATCTGGCCCGCCTACTGAATGATTCAAATGCTCTGAGGAGCGTGACCGATCCTCAGATCGCGAGGTTCCCTCTTGAAAGGGTCCCAGACGATAAATCGGTGTCTGGAACGAAGTAGAACGTGCCTCTGGAGCGTCTGGCAACTCGCTCCTCTACCCATCGCGGCTCGATGGGAGATTCATTCAAAGCTCTCGGGAATAAAGCTCTCAGGATAAGTGACCGCTCGCGATACTCGAGCCGCTCTTGAATGTCGTTTGAACACCAAATTCGAAATTCAATGACTCCCAACGTCTCCTCCACCGATTCCGAGGCATGAACGAGCTTATGGTGTGGGACTAGACCTGGTGGATCTTTTGTGGCTAAGAATAGGTACGTATAGTCGAGACTAAAAACTTCTCTCGGTCAGCGATCCATAAAACTCAATACGAAACAAGTGAACCGAAGCTATCTTGTCCGCTCAGAGAGCTGGGCTTAAGTTGGATAACTCGTTCCCGGAGAACCAAGTGGGGGGAATATTCGAACTTTCCAGCTTCTCGGAGAGTCACCGGTTTGTGTGGGTCCGAGCTGAGCGCTTCTCTGTCGCGGAAGTCCGAGCTGAAATTCTGGATGGGAAATGAGCGGCTCTGGGGAAAAAAGACCTCGGACGGAATCACACGGAAAATCGAGAATTTTATGCGGCTGGACCATTTCCCGACGCTCGCTGATCGTCCGTGAGGAGTGAATGCCCTGATGCCTCCGATACTCCCGGGCCTATCGAGGCGGCATCCACAGACGCATCGAGGCGACTGTGATGATGAGATCGCAGGTCCCTCTTCTCCACGTGCTAGTCTTCCGTTCCCGTCCCTGTCAGATGGCGATGTCTACGCCCATCCATGAAGGAGAACAACGTGCTGATGTCTCGCAGAGTAGGAATAATGAACAGGATTGACCTTCCCACCAGGACGGGCAAAAACACTGGCAGAATCGGAGCGCATTCCCATCGGGATAAATAAACTCCGGTATCTCGATTCTGCATCGAGAATGCTATAAACAAAAGTATCGACAGCTCACCATCGAGGTTTTCACTTCGATGGGCGAGGGGAGACTTCCGCTGATGCTCCAAGGTTACAGGAGCGGCGAAAAGCCGGCGCGAAGGTGCAGAGAGAGCAAATATTGTTCGCCTCGAGCTCCTATTCTCTGCTGCTCCTCCAATAGAGTGTTGAGACTGAAGCTTGCGGCTTGCGGCTCGCCTGGGCAGTTTGTTTCATTGCAGCCGACAGACACGCATCGTGTGATACCCTGACCCATATAGACTTACCTACTGAGCGGAAAGGACTGTCTGTGGCTATCAACGTATCCTTCTACGACATGATTGTATCATTTCCAGATGCACCGACCGCACAGAAGATGACCTGGAAATGATCTACGCTAAGCTGCGAAGTATGCCTCCGTTCTCACAACTGCACCCTGTACTCCTACAACAGCTTTCATTTTACGGCTACTACGAGGATATCGACGCCGGTGTGACGCGTACGTTCATTTCTTCATGTTCTTGAGCTCCGCTTGATCGATTGGTCGTCACGAATCTCCCTATTCAATGATAGATTATCCTTTTTCCCGAATCCCGGACTGATCATGGGAGGCGGTGGGGGGAATAAATAACATGCTGAAGGAGGGACAGCGGGACCGATTCCATGCGGAATGAGGAATAGGCCTCCCACATGTGACTCGTTCTTCCCCGAAAAGGCAGAATCGAACAGAAGCGACACCTGATGGAACCGAAAAAACATTCAAACAACGAGCTGGTGATCGTGCCTGAGCTTCCTGACTGCGTGAACTCAGTCCACGCTGACAAACTTCGGAATTTCGGTCGAGGATCTAGGCTGAGCGGGTTCTGATATTTTCGCTTCGTACGAACTCTCATGTGCGGAACGGACCAGCTTCGTTCCGCACTTGTATCGCTATCAGGCTTCGCCACCATCGCATCGAGGTGCTTCACGATCGCACGTCGCGTCGTCTCAATATTCGCGAACCTCAGTTTTCAGAGAAGGCGACAAGGGAAAGAACTGGTATGCTGTACTCAAAGGCTCACTGGACGTCCAGATTGCGAATCCCTCAGGCGCGTCGAATGTAAGTCCGTCTTTTGTGATTTGTCCAACTCGTATTAATTAGCTTCATTCAATTTGTCGTTCCGCGGTCAATTCCAACAAACTCGCACTGAGCAAAGCCATCGCGGCTCCCGAATATTCCTCGGAGGATGACGATTTGGGAAAACAGGCGGAACAAAAACAAAGACCTTGGATTGAAATGCACGACTATTGTTGGCGACAGCTGCTCGGGAAATTAGCGTTCGGTTCCGAGCCTCTGTTGACGGGTCGGACTTTGCGCTCTCGGACTCTCTCTCCTGAGCCGCTGCCGTCGTCGGAGGGAGAAAGCTCCGAGGCTGGACGTCGGCGTCGCGGTGACGTGAAAATACGACACGAATCAATGCTCGCGTTCGACACCGTATTGTTAAAGGTCATAATTTCTCCCGGGACTCTGTCAGAATATACACACTGCGACTGACGTCCTTCGCCCGCGGCTCCGGACAGCATGACGTACGTACGCGCTGCCAGCGTTACGAATTTCAACGCGAACCGACCCATTAGATATCCGCTCAAGCGGCAGTAGCAGTAGCCGCACTTCCCTGACAATACGTTGCGGACTCGGGAACGAGCGCGCCCATCAAAACCTTCCCCGCGGTCGGAATTCCGAAATTTTTAGAATCGCTCGTCGAATTCCCAAAATCTGACGCTTCCGAAAAGTTCGAGGAGACTAATGAAGGCGAGAGAGGAGTTAAGTCCTTGACAAGCAACCGGAAGGAATCAGAGATGAGATATCCTCGCGGTTCTCGCGTCAGTATGCTGAAGAGACTCTTGTTGACATGTTGTCGAGCCGCGCGTTCGAGGAGTCGATGACACCGTCTGGCGCTTCCGTCACGGTGGATGTTTACTCTGGAAAATTTAACGTTGCCTCGAGCGACCTCCGGAACGAATATATGCATATGGATCTCCCGACTTGTCCCGACTGGCGCGTAAACTCTTCCGCCTTCGTCTCGAGGGGGAACAGGGGCTTGGACGAAGAGGAAAAAACGAAACGCTCTCGTTGGATCGGATCATACCTCCTAGCTCGAAGAGTGACCATTCCTGGCGGAGATTCGGTTCGCTTTCCAAGATTACTTCCATGGCTGGTATTGTGTTGCAGACGTTACCTTTCTCCGGTACTCTCCGGGACGAGGTGATTACGCCTCTGGTGATGGTTCTCGATAGTGACGTGAATGGCATGGGTGGACAAATAGAGAATCGACATCGATCGAACCCTTTCGCTGGTCCCTTAATCAAGCTGATTAGGTTTGGTCGTGCAACCCTCCAACCGCCATGTCCATTGATCGAGCTCACCGCCGATTTCACCAATGCTCATCTCATCATCCTTTGGCGCGGTCCCAGCTCTGAAGAGATGGATAGCCCATGTCGCATTCCTTTCTCCGGGCGGACATTCATGCGAAAATATATCGAAGGATCGAAGCACAGAAAGAATGAGCAGAGAATACGGTTTCTCTCTTCTCCGGGAGCCAGAGCGGAAACGCTCAAGCTCCAGAAGTACGAGGATCCCGCCGCGAACTACGTCGTGTGCCCGCTGGCGTTCGAGACTCTCGGCGGCCCTGGCCCCGTAACGCAGAGACTGCTTCGATACAGTGGGTCAGTTAATCAAAGAAGCGACGGGATGTAGGCGAGCGCGAGAGTACCTCTACCAACGGCTATCAATTTGCGTACAGAGAGGTAATGCGGCTTCCGTCATGGGAACCATGGCCGCTTACAAGGGACCCGCTATGGAACTGCCGTAAGGCCTGACGAGAGTGGGGACAGATGAGCCCATCTAAATCTGATTCATGTGTAACGTGTATTAATAATAAACATTAAATTCGTCTTTCCCTCTATTTTCTATTACTGTTTGGAGGAGCGTCGAACGAAGGGCGCCGAACCTCCTGTCGGTTCCCTACCCGCTCCCTCGAGCCTCCATTTCACTTCGCGGAGTCGAACGCATCGAGGAAAATCCAGCTTACCGTGTGTGCGATGCGGACTGAATGAGGCTGATTCGGAGCTTCCCATCGATGAATTCCTCCGAGGACGAGCCCTACGATCGACCTAATCCGCATGTGATTGGAGACTCTCGTTCCCGGCTCCCGCAATGCTTTACCGGTCAGGAGCCCCTGTATGCGCCGGTCCGAGAACTGGAAACTTTTGCGAATAAATCATGAATTATTCACCGTACAACTTCCCAAGGTCACGTCGGATTCAGGGGGATATCCCTCGGGGTATGACTGATGGTTTTTCGACCAGCTGCTTCGAATACATACATTCCTCGCTGGACTGGCGATCGGTTTCCGGGGCATTTCGCAGACGATTCTGTCTCAGATTGTCGAGTCCGATGGCTCCTGTGCCTCGGATCCGCCGCCGAGGGAGACGCTCCTGAGTGTTTAGAGATCGCCTATTCTTATGCATCGACGCGCGATAGGTTCAAGCGGGGCTCGAATAGGATTCTGATTGCGAACGACGCGACGATCGGACCAGTTCTCGGAGCCCCAGGATTTCAGCCCGATTTGCATCCGATGAGGACTCGGGAAACTTCCGCCTCAAAACGAGCTCTCGAACGAAAATGCTCCGAAGTGAAACTTGTCCTCCTAGTTCCGCACTCGGTCGAGAAAACTCGAAGGAGAATCGGACAAGGATATGAGCGATTACCTAATTCATTTCCCCGAATTGCGGCTCTAAGACCCATGATGTAGCCAGACCGATGACATTCTCAGCTACATAGCACGAGTTATGCCCGACCTTGGAGAAAGAGGGTTGGATCCTCACCGTGGTGATGACGTGATGACAAGCAACGTTCGCTTCGGCTGGGAGCCGGCAGTGGGAGCCTATTATTGACCGCGATTTCGTATTCGGTACGACGTCTTCGCTGGCGGAAACAATAGCTCAACGAAGGGTGTGACTCACACTACCTTGTGACTTAATTAGGACAGAAAGGGTCCCTTTCGCGCTTCCTGGCGAGGCTCCTCAGGGAAGCGAAAGCTTTCCGTCCCTTCCTGTAGACCTTGCTCGGGATTCTATTGCGTGAATTCTGCGCGACCTCTAATGACGCACCAGGAGAGGATTGGAACACCTTGAGCCATGCCGAATAATGATCCCGCGCCACGTATTTCTGTGAGGATTGTGTTCGCATGAAGCTGAAGCGGAAAATGACGAAAAAAAATGAGCGATTCCACCTGAGATTGGTGCTGAATCCCGAGTCGACGGCTTCGTTCGTCTATGAACTAGTTCCGCTCCGGAATAATTCCTCAATATCGATCGCTCTTCTTCCAGGATAACGTGACGCTCTGCACCTTGGGAGTGGGCCGGGCCTTCGGCGAGTCCATTTCAGGGCTTTCGCTTCCACATTCAGCGACTGTCGTCACAAATGAATGTTGTGAACTCCTACGGATCGACCAGAGAGACTTCCAATTGCTCTGGGAGGTAAGTTGACACAGTTCTCGACATCTATGTAGAATAGTTTCCACCCCTCAGGCAGAGGAACGCATGAGTAGGGAGCTTATGATCGACGAAGACTCGAAATACCTTCCCCGTTTTCCGAGATCAATTCTGGAACAGAGTGCGATGACTCCTGTGGAGCTCGCATGGGCGGTGATCCTCGCTCGATGGAGAATATAATAATCGGATATGAGTCGCCGCGAGGAGCGAGCGCTCGACTTGTTTTGTATGGCAAAGTCCCGATCGTCTAGACTCCAGACGGACGGTTATGAACGAACGAACGTCATCGGCCGGATTTTCTGGTTTCAAGGTTCGAGAGAGGAGAATCAGGTAAAATTGATGATGCGGGTCTCTACGCGGAGCTGAGTCTGGTATCACGGGATATACGGGAGCGTCTTCTTGGTCGAAGTGTTCGAGTTCGTTTCCCAGAGACGTCGGCTGAGGGATACGGACACATCTGCAGAGACGTTTTCGCTCACTCGCTCACCCACCCACTCGACGACTGACCAATGAGATTAGCAGACGCACTCGAGAGAATTAATTCTCTCGAGAGACGATAATGTAGCGAACGACTTCGCGTCTTATTTCGAATCGATCTCGAACGATTCGCCGGTCAGAAACAAAAGGTTATTGCAATCCGTCTCGAATCATGGAAGTGATCTCGAATGTTTAAGCTCTGGGCTCCTAGGAGATTTTCCGAACCCAGAGGTACCTGAATAGCTCGATCTCGACCGAACCTCTCCTCTGCAGTGAGAAGAAACCTCAGCGCACTCAGCTGGAGAAGTTTCTTGTCTTCTTCTAAAAGCCGCTCTCACTGCGAGGCTTTTAGACCAGCGGCCTTCTGAATAAGAGTCTTCTAAGTAGTTTCGGGAAATCGTCCTGGGAATTTTCGGTAGTTTCCGTTCTGCGCAGTCCAACGGGGAACAGGTGGGTCCATTCTCGAGAGATAACGGAAAGAGGGAAAAATCCGTCGCCGCGAACGCAATGCAGTGCGGGGACCCCGCTGTGGAGCATTCGGAAAACGCAGAACTCGAGGACGGAGAAACCGAAATGGAGCTTTCCACCAATAGATCATTGAAGAGCTTCCTCAGAGATTATTCGGTCCGTTTCTAAGAGCTACTTCGGGCGTTGAAAATACTGACTCGTTATGAGAGTGTTCCCCCAGTGGGCCGATCGCTCTCATTCACGTGCTCCCGCTAAGTTCAGGCACTCCTGTCGGAAGCAGGTTGACACTCTCCCTAGAAAGGAGCCGATCCGAGCTCCCTCCCTGAGTCGCTACATTATCCCTTCAGCTGTCGTGAATGATGATTTCTGGAGAAAATGAGCCGCGCGGTGCTCAACCCACTGGGAGCGCTCTCGCTTATTGGCCCCAAATCATGCAGGAACAAGGTCGATTGGGAGACTGACCTTGATTACCACAACGGACAAACCCGCACACCGTCTCAAACTCTGCGGGCTCTCATGATTGCGGAGTGGTAGAACAATCGGGACGCCTGGAAACTGCTCGGAGAACTGTTCAGTGAACCTCTGGGATCTGAAGCTGCCATAATTCACCCTTTGAATTTCCTTTACGGGAATTCCGGCTACGGGTTCGAACTGGCTTCCGCTGGTACCGTATGGCGAGGATTCCCGCGATCGCAGCTACCATTTTCGCATCGAACGCGCAATAGAGCCACCGACCAGTGATCCGAAAGCGCTAGGAGACGGCTTTCATGGAAGTTTGATCGCGGTTAGCGGCGGCGGCGACAGTATCGATTCGCGGGCGACTGCGGATCAAAACTCAAAACAGTTTTGATTCATCGCCGTATTTCCCGTCACTCGGCGCAATTACCTACACATGCTGTGTAGCATTTCACCGGAATCCGTGGAGTCCGTGAGATCGATCGGAGAGGAGCCTGCGTCCTCAAGCAAGGGTCGGTGCTCTCATTGAATGGATTCTCCTCATCCGGCGCGCCACTCGCTTCCACCGAGGGCTTGGGAGTGAAATTCGGGACCGCGACTCGAGGGTGAGCTTACCGTACCTCGTTTTACCGGCCGCGGCAGCGGCGATGCTCGGAGCCAGCACCGGTCATTGTGCTCTCTATCCGTTTGTGCCCGGGTTCTAAGGAAGCGGATCGAGTAGGTTGCCTAATGTTCTTAGGCTCCGTTGCGGTCAGTAATCTTGTGATCCCTTCGCGGGATTAGTGGCCCGTCAGCACGAACGCCCTCACCTCGTCAGTTATCCTCATACAGAGTTGGCTGAATCCCGATACTATGGAAGACGGGCGTCCGCTAGGGTTACGTCAAAGTGAAGTTCTTATCTGAAGCATAAACAGAAGTTTCCGTTCGTTCGGAAAGTGAGGAGTCGCTGCGCCGGTCAAAGTCCAATATCTTTTGGTGATAATCGTCTGTGAAAGGAACGAAATCGAGCTGCTATACGCAGAGGAACGACTGAAAATGGTGGAATGTGACAGCGTGCCGAATCAGGAGGATGCAACATGGGATGTCACGGTACGTCGTTGATGCACTTAGACAATAACCGCACTTGGATACGTTTAAGATCGTCTATGTATACTTTTTCCGATGGAAAGGAGCTTCAGTCAGATTTAGCGAGCATCGCTTCCGCAGATGCGAGAAAGAAATTCAGGTCCCGGCTGGGTATGAGATTCGTCGACCGAGAAATCGAGGGAATTCTCTGTGTTCCCGGCAGAGTCGGGAATAATTCGATTCCCCTCCACGGCTAATCTCTGACCGACGTAATTCTATCAAAATATTGCGCCTCATTGGCTGCGCTCGTTTGCGGATAACGACTAACCTAGTTCGGAGGTCCGGGATATCTAGCGTCGAGCAGTTTCCACAAACGACGGGGGAACAGAGTCTAAGTGTATGGTCGAGAAAACGTTTTACTTGTTCTACAAAAGTTGGTTGTGCGGTGTTCCCACAAGAAAAACTCGGGCTCTGCCAAAGAGGGTCGATTTTTCGGAATCACTGTGATACAGCGAACCTTACTTTGGAGGGGCAAGAGGAGGGGCTCGATCGCTGGGACAACAAGGACCCGCTCTACGGATGTCGAAGTTGCACAAACGATGGCGGCAGAGGGATTGTTCCGATGTAGAATCGAGCTCCCGATAAAAGTGGAGACCGTTCGCCGCTCCTGGAGAATCGTTTCTTGCTACACATTCGAGCGACATCCCTGCCCTTCGAAGAGGCTACCTGATTGGAATCGCGTTGAATAGCAAAAGACTTCAGAGGAGCCAATCGCTCATCGATAGATCTAATCTGCGACAGGTTGTGGACAGAAACAGTTTCCAGGTTTAATTGTTTTCCAGCTCCCCGTCGGCCGTCGCTTCTTATGAGCCCAGTGCAAACTCCCGAAACCGATCAATTCGAAAGTAGAGGAATGAGGACGGAGTAACAAAATTAGGCCTCGATCAACATCGTCCCGAGGTCCCACCCGGCGACGCGGCTCTTTGTGTCCACTTTCGAAATTCTCCCTCCGAATGCTGTAGATCTTCCGGGTCGATTCCCTAGAGGACAGTCGTCTAGGATCGAGGATTTGAGCTTCGATTCGAGAGCGAGATTAGCGGACAATGTCGATTCTCCAAGAGCGAGATTGGGGAAGAGATCTTGAGCACACGTGGAGCGGTCGCTAGATGCGGTTGGACTCACCCTATCAGAGCCCAGAATTCATACCAGGGGGTGAGCGGAGAAATTGTAGGAATGATTCCTCGGTTCCATACGGATACCCCCTTTGAGCGCGACGACTCAGTCCACAGAGCTCTAAAGAGATTTCAGTCTTGTCACTACAAAAAAAGCTCGTTATAACGACCCCATTACAAAGAATTTCTCGGTACAACGAACAAGGAATTTCTCCTGCTTTGGCCAGCTCGCCATAGGGATAGTGTTGAGCGGCATTCGTTACAGCGAAAACTCGGTACAACAAACCAGTTTCGTCGGTCCCTTCGTGTTCGTAGTAACGAGCTTTCACTGTATTCGATAACTACGGTGTTCGAAAGATGCCAAGCGCCAGAAAAGTCACAGCAAGTCTCGTTCGGTCTTCGAGATATATGTTTGACCAGACGGATGAGGCAGATGTAAGGAATCTACTCTTCTAGAAACTCTGTTGGGTTTCCGGAGATGGTCGATCGAGAACGAGTACACGGAAACTTTTGTTCTGTGCGAGAAGCACTCTCGCCGATAGTTTTCCGCGCCGCTGAACCTATGCGATCGACGCTCTGGGGAAGGATCAATGATAATCCTCAAGTATTACTACAACGCGTCGGTATGATGTGGAGAAAGTCCATGCGGGGATACCATCAGAGCCTCGGGAAAGCACGGAAATTGAAACGGCGAGCAGCACCGAAGGTTGACAAGCGAGACATTCATCCCTGCTGGGAGACCGAGCTCCGAACTCATAACTTTGAATACAGCCTGCGGAGTTGGCTATTTTGACTTAGAGTGACAGCAAGGAGAGAGAATGAGGAAATAAGTGGTCGAGGATCGCCTTCGGACACGGAACGCGCATTGTGGCCTGATATTTAGAGGTTGGCAAGACTCTAAGCTTCAAGAGGCCCGGAGTCGGACCTGTGCCTCAGAAAAATCATTGCAAGAATCCGCGCGTATATTAGTTTCTTATGTTAATGTCTCCGCATTCATTAATGGAGCTCCGTGAGAGCTTAGAGCCGGGGTTTCCCAATTGGAGCGAGATTAATTTTCAATTCTTCTATTGTTCAGGAACTCTCTTACTGACAAATCCCCTGGCGGCTCTGAGCTTGTCTGAGCCGTCGAGCTTCCTCGTGGGCAATCTCGCTCTGTGATTCAGATCACCTGTATCTCGGTCAAATCACAGCAATGAAAAAGATTTCCAAAGAGAAATGATACCATGACCTCCCATTCGGCATATCAGTTGAAATCTTGTCCGAAATCTGCCTCGCGTCATGTCTCACGTCCCCCGCTCTTGCATCATACCCTGACGGTCTCCTCGGAATGGGAAAGGAGCATTTCAA